AGTGTTTCGGCATGATGACATCATGTGCAACGGTGTGATAGTGTCATACTACAATCTGTCATTATTTCATTTGGTTCATTGCGTATGGCCATTCCAAGTTGCATTAATTGGAGTAAGTATATACACTCTTTGAATATATATATACACACCTAACTATAAAAAGATTTGTACGAGAAAGTTCTTTGCTATTTTGGTGTCATGTTACCATCATTTATTAAAAACACAAGTAAAGCTGGTGTAATTAGACCTCTTCAGAAACAGCTTTAATGCCACTAATTCAATTGATTTACCTTCCTAATTTTTGCTGTATCAACCTCCATTTAAAGAAATCACTCTAAGACTTTCCAAAACTTTCTGTACTAGCATTTTTGCTTATTTTATATAAAGATTCCAGCTCACTTCTGGCATTGTTGTGGACCTCATCTAATTTTTTGATTAAAATGATTGACAACCTTCTCCAAGGTGTTCTTCATCTACCTGAGCAAGATTCTTCGACATGCATAAGTTTGGCATGTCTCAAAGAACCTTGTCTAAGCTGTTTCATTAAACAGCATGGATTAGCTTGAGGATTTGTCTTGTGAAGAACAGTGTTTCTTAATTAGATTAATGAAAACTTTGAGAGAAAAGTAACTATATCAGTATGCACGTGTGTGTGCATACAAACCAATTGTTTGAAAGGAGAGCTCCTGGAAGAGTCAGTAGAGTAAGATATAATGAATTTTAAATCATATAAACCTACATCCAAACTGTTTTGCCTTAGCAGTGGGGGAGGTGTGGTGTGTTCTTAGCAAACACTGTGGCAGGAGTTGGAAATCACATCATCCAAAAAATATTGCTCTGTTTTCAAATTATTAGTAAAATTAAATGTAAAATTATACACATTTTCTTCTAGCAAATCTTAACATATTTATTCTCTTAGGGAGAAATTCATTCATTTTATCAAAATTTACACAAATTACTAGGTATTTAGCCATAGTTCCAGAAGTTCCTCATATGACTGTATCATTTCACAGACATTATGCTCAATTTAATAGTTAATTTCAAGAAATTACAATCATAGGGATGTAAACAAGATGATCATTTTCATTTCAACATTCACTAAATTGAACAATGAAATGGAAGAATAGCCAGTGGTTATGTGGAGATAGCATTACAAGGCATGGCCTTAAACAAAAAGCAAATATAGAATCATATAGCATAGAAGGTCATTTGGTCCATTGCATCCTTTCAGATAGTCCCCAGAGCAATTTCGCTAGCCCCATTTCCCTGCCTTGTCCTCTTAGTCATGTGGTTAGTTTCCCTTTATATGTTTAAACAAATTCCCTTTGAAAAAACATCCTTTAAGGTCATGCATTTCAGTCCATAACCACTTGCTGTATATTTATTCCATAATCAGGTGTTGTTCTATTCCTAATCTTTGTGATATTGATTTGTGTTTAGAGCCATATCAAATAGGTTCTTTCTTTCAGGGCCATTCTTCGTCATGTGCCAACATGATGCACCCAGATGGGACATTTTGCATATTTTCCGAAATAGTGAGCTGCTGGTTTTTGATATTCTAACTGAACTAACTGATAAATAAAGGACAAACCTTAGAATCATAGAATCCCTATTGTGTGGAAGCAGGCCATTCGGCCCATCGAGTCCACACAGCCCCTTCAAAGAGCATTCTACCCAGACCCACCGCGCCCCCCCAATCCTATCCCCGTAATCCTGCATTTTCCATGGCAAATCCACCGAGCCTGCACAACCCTAGATATTATGGGCAATGTGGCATGGCCAATTCACCTAGCTCGCATATCTTTGCACTATGGGAGGAAACTGGAGCACCCGGACAAAACCCACGCAGGCAAGAGGAGAACGTGCAAACTCCACACAGACAGTCACCCAAGGCTGGAATCAAACCGGGGTCCCTGGTGCTGTGAGACAGTAGTGCTAACAACTGAGCCACTGTTATTTCTAATGGAACAGAAAAAAAACAGAATGGACAGTTTTAATGGAACAATTGCTCAGCATTTTCTAAGCTACATGGTACATTTGTTCTTCTGGTTTCAATATATTTATTGATTATTGCATTGCAATAGAAGACAAAAGTTCATGACTGGACTTTGAAAATGAAGGCCATGATGACATGTCCAAGCTTGTCAGTTCTCGGCACAGTTGCTGCCTGACCTGTGTGACATTTCCAACATGTTCTTTTAACATCCCTTTGAAATAAACTTCAGTGCTAAAGCTTTGGGTAGAAAGCACAAGAAAAGTATAGAATTTAGAAGTACAGACCAAACTTATAAAACAATATCAAGTAATGATCACAGAATGCATATTTAGTCTAGCAACTCGTATTGCAGAAGCTTCATAGATGTGCACAGGGTAATTGTAATCAAGATACATTGAAAGAAGATAGAGAAGTTTAGAAGACGTACATGTGGACAGGTTTCTTGTGCACCTAATGCTATTTTGTCATTGGCTGTGTTCTGCAGTTATAATAAACTTTGTCCATTTGCTATGGTGTTGTATTTTGCAATCTCATCATTCCTTTGTTTCTCTAATATATAGCATATATTCCTTAAATAGCAGAGACAGCATCTAAGAGCAAGAGTTATTCTAAAACTGTATAAAATACTCGCTGGGCCTCAGGTAGAGTACTACATACAGTTCTTAACACATTACAAAAAGGATATAATTACGCTAGTGAGGGAGTTTACCAGGTTGTTGCCAAAAATGGAGAAGTTTGTCTGTAAGAAAAGTTTGGATAGGCTGCAGTTCTTTTGTTTTAAACAGAGAAGACTGTAGAAGATTTAATTAAGACATGTAAAATTATGAGAGGTGTACGAAGAGTGGAAAGGAAGAACCTATTCCCTGAGCAAAGCAGCCAATAACCAGTGACATAAATGTAAAGCAATTGATAGAAGGGTTAGAGGAGAGTTGAGCAATGTTCCCTCTATTTTTTCTTCCACTGCACAGACATCTGAGATCTGTGCATTGCAGCACATGTACATTCATAGAACTCCATTAGACAGCAGTAGAGTCGGGGAAGAGAAGACACGTCCTTTTTCTTTACAGTCCTAGCTGCTATATGGTAAGTGTAAATATCCAATTGGAATTTTAATGAATGGAACAGCAAATGGATATGTCAGTAAGTGGGTGAATGGGTACATGAGTGAAGGAGGTTACTGGGCAAATAGGTAGGGAGTATGGTGGGTGAGGTGAGTAGGTTGGCAGGATGGGTAAGTGAGTAAAGGGCAGGGTGGGTAATTCGTTGAGTGGTTAGGAGGATAGTCATATGGTTGAGAAAGTAGTTGCAGGATAATGGAGGTAAGTGAGATCCAGTCAGAGAGTTAATCGGGTGGTTAGGAGGATAGGTTGGGTCTAGGAGGGAGTGTATTTGGGTGATCAGGAGGATAGTCAGGTGGTCACAGAAGGCAGTGAAGTCAGCTGTAGTCAGGTCAGATAGGGATGGTAGTCGGATGGTTGGAAGGGTAGTTAGGTGAGTGACAAGTCAGATGCTTAGAAGGGGAGGTGGGGTTAAGTAATGTCGGGAATTATTCATGAGAATTAGTCATGTCAGGAAGGTACTTAGTGGATTAGAGAGGTATTGCATTGGATCAGTGGGAGATAGTTAGTTTGTGGGGGATTCAGGTCTTAAGGTAGGTGGTTGGGGAGAAGTAGTCAGAGGTCTGGGGTTGGGGTAAGATTGTGAACCCAATTATGTTGTTACACCATATGTAGTCTAAATTTTAATCTGTCTAACATTTCCTGGGTAACAATTCACATTAGTACACGCGAGCTGTCTGAAGTCTCCAACTCTGATTCAGTCTGGAGAAATTTGTGGAAAGGCGGCAGATGATGATTTGGCTCAAATATTTATAACTAACCCATCTTAGTCAGAATGTTTCACAGGAACACTAATGTAACAAATGTATCCTTCAACATCTCATGTCACTGCTACTCCTGATATGTTTGAACTTCAATTTGAAAGTTTAACTAGAAAATAGCATTTAATATCTGTCCAAGTAGCTCAATATAGCAAATATTATATCAGATTTATACTGACAATTACATAATGTTTCCAATTTATAGTGCTCTTCAGTTTTTAACTTACAGTATAACAACATGGCTATCGCTTGGAATGGAATAGCTTCTTTCAAACATGAAGTGGACTCATGTTTCCCAACTCTACTAGTGCAAGAAATAAGTACAAGTGACTCTGGAGAACAAATAGCCATTGTCAGTATCGACAAACACAATGGAAACTAGCTAGATCATAATTTTACCAGGATGTTGCTGGGAATGGAGAGTTTGAGTTATATGGAGAGGCTGGATAGGCTGGGACTTTTTTCACTAGAGCATAGGAGGTTGAGAGGTGACCTAAGAGAAGTTTATAAAATAATAAAAGGTATAGATAAGGTGAATGGTAGGTGTCTTTTCCCTAGTATGGGGGATTTCAAACAAGGGGTCATATTTTTAAGGTGAGAGGAGAACGATTTAAAAAATATATGAGAGTCAATATTTTTACACAGACAGTGGTTCGTGTGTGGAATGAACTTCCAGTGAAAGTGGTGGATGTGGGTACAATTACAACATTTAAAAGACATTTCGATAAAGACATGAATAAGAAATGTTTGGAGGGATATGGGCCAAGTGCAAACAAGTGGGACTAGTTTAATTTGGGATTATAGATGGCTTGGGCTGGTTGGACCAAAGGCTCTGTTTCCATGCTGTATGACTCTATCTCACTACCTAGCCTAAGTGATTTTAACCAAAATCTAGATACTATCTACCTAGAGTTAAAAAAAGATGTTAATTCTCATTAATGAAAATTCCAAAACATTGTGGGTATAAAAGTGAAAACTGTAAACAAATCTTCTTGAAAACAAGCTGCATTTGAGAAATTTTGCCAGTATGGATACATTGTGATTTTACTGTTATTTTGATTCATGTGCTGTAAACATTTTGAATTTAGTCTCCATTTGCAAAGACTGTTCAAATTAGCATGCTCCTAAAAGTGAAAAATAAGTTGACCCCTTAAGATCTATTATTGATATTTTAAATTAGGCATAATTCATCTTGATTTCATTTTTGTGTTGTTTAGGTTTAGAGCCACAAAACCTTGTACATTCACATAAGATGGCATTTGTGCAGTCAGTACTTTAAGATGCACAAATATTAATTGTTCCCTTTACCAGTAGTCATCTGTCACATTCCCATGTAGAGTTGGTTTCATTTCGATGTGGCTACATATATTAAACCAGATTTATATTTCCTGTTCAATATTTAGTTATGTGACAGTCTTCGAAGGCTTAAAGTTGATATTCCCCATTCGCATGTTCTTCCCTGAAGTAATGAGGGCACCAAAACCCCGTTGATGAGCAAAAGCATACGCAGATCGCCGTGCACTGGGTCGTTTCAAGCGTGTAACCATTTGTTTTGGAGGAAGTGTCTTGATTTTCCTAATTTTATGTTGCAGCTGAAAAAAAATTGCAAATGACTCAGTGTCAGTTCATAATTGTACAGTAAATAGATTAAACAGCAAGTTTACCTAAAATAAATTTCCACCTACATCATACAAAAAACACCAGATTTGCCATTGTCAATGAAACCATACCAATATAGTATGGTCTGAAAACGCTGGGCTAAAAGGTGAAAGTATTGTTGCAGATTTTTGCATTGATTACATTGTGTGCATACAAGTCCACAAGATGAAATGAACCATTAAAAATACCTATAAAGTCAGATCCCTGCCTTATTTTGATTTGATATGTTATTGTCACATGTACTGAAGTACGGTGAAAAGTATTCTTTTGTGTGCTATCCAGACAAATCACACCTTATATAAGTACATCAGGGTAATAGAATAGAATGCAGAATATAGTGTCACAGCTACAGAGAAGGTGCAGAGAGAGGTCAACGCTAATGTATGAGATCTGGTAATAGCGGGGAAGAAACTGCTCGTGAATCTATTAGTACATGTTTTCAATCTTTTGTATCTTCTGTCTGATTGAAGAGTTTGGAAAAGAGTATAACCATTGTGGGAGGGTCTTTGATATTGTTGGCTGCTTTCCCGAGGCAGCAGGAAGTGCAGACAGAGTCATTGGAAGGAATGCTGGTTTTCATGATGGACTGGGCTGTGTTCACAATTCTCTGTAATTTCTTGCAGTCTTGGGCATAGCAGTTGCCACAACAAGCTGTGATGCATCCAGATAGGATGCATTTTATGCATTACTCACTCTTCTCACTTTTAGGTCAGACACAGAAAACCCCCACCTTAAACAGAAGGAAGCTTCGCCAAAAATGAGCAAATGGGACTAGTTTAGTTTGGAAAACTTGGTCAGCATGGATGAGTTGGACTGAAGGGTCTGTTTCTGTGCTGTATGATTCTATAAATTATCCTCATAGTGTCTCCCTTTCTCTGGCCTGGTACAACACTTCCAAATTCTCTTGATATGTAATGTCTATCCAGGATTCTTTGGCAAAACGTAAAGATAGAATTTCATTTGAAATAAAATTAATCAGTTCTGTATCTGTTACTATGTGAATTTTTTTTCTTTGGTTATCTGCTGCTGTATTGGCCTTTATAGTCCTTTACTTCTTTTTATAGCTATAGCTGTATTTTTTTCCAAGCTTTACTACTTTTTTCCTTCCAGTTCCGTTACATTAGATTTCCTAGTGATAACTTCTTGGAAAGCTAAGAGGAAAAATAGCAGAGAGTCCACAGCATTTACACCTATGTACCACCATCAGGCAACTAGGACTTGTCCTATACAAAAAAGCAGCTGGTACACAAAGATTGTGAGGTCATCCATTTTGTACCTAAAAGGATAGATATCAATGTCAAATAAATGGTGAATTTTAGTAACAATGCAGGTACAACTAGATTTAAAAGGCCACATACACAATTCACTAAGATGCAGCAATTAGGTCCAAGAAAGTCGAAAAGACTAATGGAATATTGGATATTATAACCAGTGGGCTAAAATATAAAGGGGATAAGGTTATTCTACAGAAATACAAAACCCTGGTAAGTTCACATCTGGAATGTTGCATACGGTTCTGGTAACTTCACCATTAACAACGACTTATACAGTTTTAAGATAATTAAATGTCTCAAAGCGTTTCACTAGGGCATTCGAAAAGATATCAAACACAAAGCTACAAAACTACATATTAGGGTAGATAGGGTAGGGGCCATAAAATTGTCATAGGAATAGGTTTTAAAGAGCATCTAATATAAAGGGGGATGAGAGTCGGAGAGGATCAGCGAGAGAATACCAGAGGTTACAGCCTAAGCAGCTTAACTAATGTTTAATTTAAACAAAATCAGGAAATGTGGGGTCTTCATTTATTGCCCATCAGTGAATATCTCCACTGCTGACCTTATGATGAAAGGTATCGATAATTAAGCTGAAGGTCACAGGATCCAGGACATTACTCTGAGGAATTCCATTCAGAAAAGGCCTTAGAACTGAAATGACAGATCTCCAATAATAACAATCATCTTTCTATGTGTCATATATAATTTCAACCAGCAAAAGGTTTTCCGATCTGATTCCCATTGACTCCAGTTTGGTTGGACTCCTTGATGTCACTCTGGCCAGAAAACCCAAGGCCCAAAACCATAATGGACAACCTTTGAGCAGCAAGGCCCAATGGGACTTTCAGGACAGGTCAAGCACAAAGCATCCGCACAAGTCAAAGGCAGGCAAGGACAAGCCCAGACATCCCTGGAAAACAAGGCTGGTTTGTGTATTGGAGTACAGGGACAAGCCCAGACTTTCCTGAAAGCAAGGCTGGTTTGTGTATTGGAGCACGGCAAGCCCATCTGATGCCGTCACCTTGACCTGGAAGATCGATTGGCTGAGGGCCACAAAACATTGTGGAAGGATGCAGCAGGGTGGGATAAGAAGGGATATTTGGCAGCCAAACCCTCAGTGAAGACTCAACCTGGCCCAGCAGTGGGACTCTAACTGCTTGCTGAGAGAGAGAGAAGACAACCATGTGCGAGACAAACCTATGCCAAGTTCATTAGTCCCGGGTTACATAGCCTGGCCAAGTTTAACTGCATGGGAAGTATCTGGTCCTGGTATGGTAGCAAGTAGTATTTTAGATTGTGACAAAGACTTAGCATTGCGATTGGTAGAGTAATTAATGTACGGATCAGGAATTTTTTTCATTAAAGAGCAGGGTTTTGGCTAATTTTTAGCTATACCCCCCCTTTTGTTTTCATAGTGTATTTTGCGAATAAAATTGCATTGAATTGCTAGTCAATTCTGACCGTTTTGTTCCTCTGACAAGTACAGAACTCAAGTAAAATGAGTTTAGGTAGAAACTGGTTGAAGAGTTCAAAGCACAGACAACACCACAATCAGTCAAACGCAGCCTTAATGTCAAGGGCAATCACTTTCACCTCACCCCCACATTCAGCTGTCGTCCATGTATGTAACAAGTACCCATGTACATGCCAGTGTTATAGCTGTACTGGGACAGCTTGGGGAAGAGGCATGGCAAGTTCTGGATCATAAGTCTTTAGTATTAGTGATGGAATGTTGTCAGGACCCATAGCAGTATCTAGTGCTGAAAATAAAAATGCTGGAAATCATAGCAGGTGAGGTAGCAGCCATGGGCAGAAAGCAAGCTAATGTTTTGAGTCTCGATAACTCTTCATTACAGCTAGATTTAAACCAAAACCCAGTTTATATTTTTACAGTTGAAATCATGAAGATTGTATTATTATTGTGGAATATTCTCTCAAGTAACAATAAAAGATGTAATTAGGAATAACAAATAGTTTTCTTTCAGATAGCCTTATACTATGCTATTCTATTCTCTTCTCATTAAGAACGTACTTTATCAATGGACGTAGGTCTTAGCTCAGAGCTGAGGTATCTCACAATAACAATTGGCAGGACACACATTACTGCTGACAGAAAGATGGTCAGCCATACATGTGGTTGGTTCAAGGCATTCCTTGCAGTACCTATACAAGATAAAACAAAATAGTAGAGTTAATGTAAAATATTCCACTCTGTTACTTGGCCAATGATAATATTTTCTAATGAATTCTCATTGGAATTTCATAGACATGTTCAGTTGATTATTTTCAGCCTTTTCTTGCTGCAAGATGTGAGGCACCCTCCTTATTTTGCTGCTTCCTTACTTCCTTGTGATGGTCCATGTTTGATCAGAGCCTTTGCTGCTGGGCCAAATCTCAATGCAGGTGAAATTGTGGAATGTTCAGCACTCCATTCTAATGCGGAGATAATCTGTGATGCATGCTGGAGAGAAACACCAGGCCTGCTGAGCAGCCTAATAATTGCTCCATAATCAGCCTTATGGTTTGATTCTGTAGTTATACCTCTGTTGCTCATTTTGTTTTGGGATTGCAGAGGGGTTTATTGACCAAATGTTCCTCAGCACTCTATTTGCCACATTTCTGTGACTTTAACACTGGGGGGAATAGTTGAGTGTCAAGGATAGAAACATTCAGACAACTAGTTCAGTATTGTATTATCCATTTTTATGTACCAAATAGTTGTAATGAAATAAAACCAGATTAACATATGGGATTTGTTCTTGGCTAAAACACAGCTCACTTGATCCTAGAAAGTTAGTTAAACATGATTTCTGCTTTAGAAATCCATGCTGACTCTTCCAAATCAACTAATTACTAATTCTATCCTTAATAATTGTTTCTAGTGGGTTCCCTACCGCTAGAGTTAAAGTAACTGGTCTATACGTGTTTAAAGCATGGTATTACTACTTCCGCCAAGGCCTGGATGTATTTTCTTGAATAATCCAGTGGTTTTCAGCTGATTATGGACAAATGCCAGTTGTTTCACGAGCAGCCAGGAAATTCTTGCCCTTGCTGGAACCTTCTGGGGTCAAATATTTAGTCACCATATATAAAGGCCACCCGGGACAGACCTTCACTCACTGCTAAATTGCATAATCACTGGAGGCACTGTTAGTCATTCCTAACCACCACATCCATCATCATATTTGTCCCTGGTTAAGCAGCAACTGCCTCCAAAGTCCAGCTGCACCTTGCTAGAGGTTCTGCTGCAGGCTGTCTAGAAAAGAAGGAAGGTTTGCTTCCCCAGGCAGGGCAGCTGGTAGTCTTCCCATCAGATGAAGGTGGCTAGGGCTGAAGTTGCAGCACATGTCAGCACCAGAAGCCCTGGATCCAGAACAAGAAGAGGATGAACAATCCCACACTCCATAAGGTTAAGTGGCACATCTACTCACTGGAAACAGACACGTATCACTCAGTTTAATTGTGCCACTGCACAGGCATGCCACATAGAGCGACTGTCTGTTGCTCCCAGCCAAAGAAAAGGCATCCTCCTAATCTGGGTGTAGCCTTTTCAAAATCAAAAGAAAACTATGCAGTTGTACAAGACGGTGAGATTTAGTTTTGACTTTTGAACAAAAATGTTTGCCACTCCTGAGACCCACCATATTCCCCCTATTCTTTATGTTCATCAAGCCTTGCAAACCCTGTCACTCCTGTGACTCAGCAATCCTTTCCATGTCACATATTATTTTTCCATTTTATCCCCAAATTCCTTACTACCCAGGTCCTAATGTCCCACCTGATCATTTACCCTCCCATAATTACGGTCACCTGCACTAACACATTCCTTGATATCCTCTCCAATCTTGCCCTACAAAACACCACCCTCAGGTCAAACTCCATCCAAGACAGTGACCATACCCTCCAAGAGAAACTACCGCCAGACATGTTGTTGCACATGAGTTTCTTACAATGAAGACCATACCCTGAACTGCCATTTCCCTCTGACACTGCCTTCCGAGCCATTGCCCCAAAATCCCCAGAACAGGAAAGGAACTGCTGCAAGATCCACCCTTTCAAACCTGCATAAATAATGTTGCACCCTTGAACAAATAGCACTCCCACCCTTCCCTGATTAAATGTTACTCTCTGCTTTTGGCACTTACATATGATCTTCAATGAACTTTGTTAAGAAATCCAAATTTAGATTTTGTACTGCTGGAGATCAAGGACTACAATTCCCTGCATGCTCTAGAAGTTTGGACACACACTTGAATTGGGGTCAGGGTAAACAAGCTTAACTCAGTGTTCCTTTTAAACATTTAAAGGGCACGGGCAACTGGGTCACCAGAAGATTACCTGCAGGGTTCTGCAGGTGTGCACCGACTTGCTTTTTCACCATTTTCAACTTTAATTGCTCCACCATCAGCAGCTATGCCTTCAGCTGATGAGGCTTTTTACTCTGAAATTGCTGCTCTAAATTCATCTGACTACCATGTTTCCTCCTTTAAGATGTTGCTTAAAAACTTATTTCTTCCATCAAGGTTTTAGTCACCTGATCTAATATCTGCTTATGTGGCTCAGTGTTAAAGATACCATAAAAATGGAACTTGTTGCTGTTTTATTTAAATGTTCTAATAATAGACTGACCTCTCAAGGTACTTGCATGCCCTGTTAGATAGATTTATACATGTGTTGCACATGTTATATTTGTATTTGTGAAGGTGAACACTTAACCCGTTCCAAACTTTCCAGCTCAATGCGGTGGGGCTTGGCTTAGTATTCAGCCCATTATTTCTTCTGTATACTACAACATTTATATCCATTCTTTATATGAAATATTACATATGAGCATCATAGTTAAATAAAATGTTTTTTTAAACAATCAATACCATTCACACCAGAAAATCTGTAAAAAGGAAATCAGTAGTTACTTTAACATGAAATTATTTATAACAGAAGTGATAAATATTAAAAGTACATACCAATAAAAGGAAATGAAGTTGGAAACATCAGATACATGCCATTGCTGTACATTGTAAAAGTAATTGCAAAGTAGACAGCAAGACTTCCCCAGATAAAGAAATGGTTGATAGCTGTCCAAAATGATGTATCCAGTGCGATCTGTTACCAAACAGCAAGGTTATTGCAGTCAAATTTATATGTTCATTATTCAACATTAAATAAACATTTATAAACTTAGGCCAGAGTCATCCAGTCTCAGAGGCAGTAGTCCTGCGCATGGGACACAAACTTAATTAGGTAAGATAGTAGCCTATCAGAATGGCACCACTTTCCTGTCTCCACCATTTTTACATTTTGGACAGGAAGGCCCAAGTTCTACTTTCTCTCTCTGCCACCAATTAACAACTTAAGTGCCACTTAAGGGACTGTTTCCCACTTGGTTGTGACTGTTTCAGCCCCAATCAGGACAGTAAAAGGGGACATTCAACTGACTGGTCAACCAGTGTAGTTGGCTGTCAGCTTTGGAGATTGGGGCTGTTGATCTGCACTATTCGATGCATGACTGAGGGACTGTATGTAAAGCAGGGAATGGGTCTTAAGGCAGGGTAATAGCAGTGAAGACCCATCTCCTGCCCTTGCTTCTGACCCCCTCCCAGGGCTTCTTCTCTCTACGATCCCCATCCCAAAGCCACCTAAATCCCTACCAATGACACTCATCTCTTCCATTGTTGCTCTATCCTAAGGATGCTGTAGCAGCAACAGTCACTGGCAGCTGCATCTTTCTCAATTTGGGTTCTAATTCTGCAGAAATCTCACTGGTCACTAGTTAAGCACCTGACTGGCGGAAGATCTGATGGACTGCACATCCTAACATAGAGTTGGTTTATCTCCACTAATCTTTCCCGCTTTCAGACTTAGGCTGAAAACAGGAAAATACCAGGTTAAGCCTTTTGAAAACCAACATGTAATACTTTAATATCTTTGGTACTTTATATTAAGGCATCGACCAGACATTGGTCATTATTCAGCAACAATGATGGAGGCTGCTGAACAAGGGAGCTGAACAGTTCACTGGGACTCATACAGCAGGTGGTAATGGTGAGGGGGAGCAGCTGAAGCATTCGAATGGCCTCTCATTGGGAAAAACTGGTGTCTTTAATGGAAGAAGGGCTGATGAGAAGGAGGAGGGCCGATAAACAAAAGATTTCTCAGCCCAATGTAGGCCACAGGCTTCATTCCATGTACATGGTGCACGTGGAATAAAGAATCCTTGCTTCATGGTCTTTGGGTTATCATGTGTTGAAATCTCATGTTAAACGTAATTTTCATGGGGTGTATATGTTATTTTGTCTGATTACCGAACACATCATATCTAAACTGTTGCTTCTCAACAAACTCAATAAACTATCTGAACATTTCTTATAAATGGCCAATTGTCAGTATTAGGGAACTGGTTATGAATTCTCAAAATCGAACCGTGGAGAACAGCCAATTATTAATAATGTCATCTTGATATCCCTTAGGGTAATATCAACAACAGCTCTTGCAACTGCTCAAACAATTTTTTATTTTGCCTCTCACTGAAAAGGGAAACTATTTAAGAAGGTTGCAGATTTAAATAACTTGACAGCTCAAGTTTTTGTTTATCCCTCTCTGACACAGGGAGGTCTTCTTTCTTATTTTAAAAGGCTAAGTATTTAAATAACTTTACAGCTTGACATTTTGACATTCTTAAAGAGCAGAAAAATGGAGCAGGACTTCAGGATCTAGGTCAATTGCCATTTTGGAGTCTACATGGGGTTTCTACAATGTGCCAAAAAGTAACATTGTATCTATACTTTCCTTGTTAAAAGTGGGAGATTTAAAAAATGAAACTACCATCTGGGCTTATTGCTACATCAAGTGATCAAAAGCTTGATGGAGCCACAGTGATATGTGCAAGGACAACTAGTTTTGAAATCCTACACACAGAAATTTTCACAAGACTATCTAAGTGCCATCACATAAAAGCAGTGAGCTATTTAGATGTTTTTATGACTGAGGCATATTTAGTTTCAATTGCAGGTTTTGTAAAGAAAGTAAATAAAATCACGTGTCTTCATAATGTAAATATCCATGATTATTTTTAAAAATGTGAATACTCAGTTACCTGCAGAGTAACGGCCACAAGCAAACATGTCTGAGCAATTAAAGCAAAAGACTGATAGTCAGATACTGTCTCTCCATCATCTCTCACTGCTTCAAATAGGGAACCATATGGAATAAAAAAAAGAACCAGGGAACTATAAACTCCATGGATAATACATTTCACAAAAACCAATTTGTTGAAATAAAGATTAAACTGTCCAGGTTCATAAAGTTGAGGATATGCCATACTCCAGCGGTCATTAACATCCTGCAAAACAAAACCAATTTCAATCAATATTGAATGACAAGCCATAAATAGATCATACACATGTTCTTTAATGTTAGATTTTGCTTACATTTCTACATATTTTTATCATGAATTTTGTCCTCTTCTCCCAAAACTGCTGACTCATTCTGCAGTACAATTTTGAAGCCTTCAGTACTTCACCCAACTGCTTATTTGTCACGTTCTTTTTTATTCATGCATAGGACATGGGCATCACTGGCTGGCCAGCATTTACTGCCATCCTAGCTGCTTTTGTGAAGGTGGTGGTGAGGTGCACTCTTGAAACATTGCAGCCCATGTGTTGTAGGTAGATCTACAATGCCTTTAGGTAGAGAATTCCAGGATTCTGACATTGGGACACTGAAGGAACAATGATATATTTCCAAGTCAAGATGGTGAGTGGCTTGGAGGGCAAGTTGCAGACAATAGTGTCCCCATGTATGTGCTGCCCTTGTCCTTCTAGATGGAGGCAGTCGTGGGTTGGGAAGGTGCTGCTTAAGGATCTTTGATGAATTTCTGCAGTGCATCTTGTAGATAATACACATTACTGCTCCAGTGGTGAAAGGAGTGGATGCTTGTGGATTTGGTGCCAATCAAGCAGACTGTTTTGTCCTGGATGGTATCAAGCTTCTTGTGTGTTGTTAGAGTTGTACCCATCCATGCAAACAGGGAGTATTCCATCTCACTCCTGACTTGTGCCTTGTAGGTGGCAGGCAGGCACTGGGGAGTCAGGAGGTGAGTTACTCAGCACAGTATTCCTCGCCTCTGACCTGCTCCTAAAGCCACTGTATTTATGTGGTGAGTCCAGTTGTGTTTCTGGTCAATGGTAACCTCCTAGCCATTGATAGTGAGTGATGGTAACACCATTGAAAAGTCAAAGGAAGGTGGTTAGATTATCTCTTATTGGAGATGGTCATTGCCTGGCATTTATGTTGTGTTATTGTGTTACAGGTGCAAATGTTACTTGCTACTTGTCAGCCTGGACATTGTCCAGATCTTGTTGTATCCTATCAGCGAACATGTAGTCCGGACCAGATTAGGACAGTAGTTTCCTTCCCTAAAGGGCATTAGTGAATTAGTGAACCAGACGGGTTTTTCTGACAATTGACAATGGTTTCATGATCATTGTTGGACTCTTAATTCCAAATTTTTATTGAATTCAAATTCCATCTTCCACTATGGCAGGATTCAAACACCGGCCTCCAGAATATTACCTGGGTCTCTGGATTAACAGTCCAAGATAATACCACTAGGCCGTCACCTCTTTATATCCCTTTATATGGAGGGACACTGATCAAGCAGCTGAAGATGGTTGGACCTAGGACACTATCCTGAGAAAGTCCTGCAGAGATGTCCTGGAGCTACGATGACTGACCTTCAGTAACCATAATCATGTATTAACCCTAAGTGTAATAGTTAGAAACCCATTCAAGTGCCACCTTTTTGACAGGTGGGACTTAAACCCATGTCTCCTTGTCCAGAGGTAGGGACTCTACCATTGCAAAGCAAGAGACTCCAGTGAAACTGCTGAAGCAATCTCCTGAGAGGTGACTTCCTAATAGGTCACATCCATCCTCATTGTCCTACTGAGGTCAGTGGACAGCCTCTGTAAATTGTAAATTTACTCAGATGGCCAGCTGTGCCACCAGAAGGGTTGGTGCTGCTGAGTCACAGTAAGGATTGCACTTCAAAATGAAGGTTTTCTCATTCAATACTGAAGGGTTGTACAAAAGATTTTTGAAGCCAATGAAGTTATCAGGATTGAGGAGAAATTCCTCCAATAATTAATCATGGCTGTAATTATGACCTTTCCTGCCAGTTCCAACACAGAATCTTTGTTCAACTTGCCATCAACAGAGCCTTTCACCATCCCAAGCCTCCCCAGTCGCAAACATCTTTTCACCACTTTCGCTGACCACAGTTTCCATCCAAATCCCTGAGGAACATGCAATGTTTCTAGCCAACCTACATAATTGCTGAGCAGCCCAACAATCGCCAATCATACTACTTGGTAAGTCAATAAATAATTATTTGATAAGAGACCATTGTGAACAAATATTATTCTTAAACCTATCATTTTACATGTTGTTTTTCTACCATCAGTTACATAACTGCTTAAAATATTCTATATTCAATATAACAAATTATGTTTCATAATATATCAAACAACCACTTCAGCAATGCAAGTTACAACGTTTACTGCTGGGTAGGAAAGCACTGTAGTGAGCAGTCTGAGAATAGCAGCAGGTGGGCTTGTTTGAGTTTAAAAGCCAGGCTACATTTTCATGGAACTTGCTGACATCCTGAATAAAACAGCCAGCAAATTGGCAGGCAGCAGTTGGCCAGCTATTAAGATCATGACAGGTGGGGACATTACCAGTGACCAGAAGGAATGGAATTCAAATGACATGACTTGGAAATTCTGAAGTGTGTGTTGGGTCATAAAAAGAAACTATGGGGCAAGGACTGAAATAATTTATTTGTCAAGCCCAGAGGGAAACTCTTTTATTTTTGTTCATTCTCAGGATGATGGCGTCGCTGGATAGGCTAGCATTTATTGCCCATCCCTAATTGCCTGGAGCAGTTAAGAGTTACATGTAAACCAGACCAGGTGAAGATGGCAGTTTCCTTTCCGAAAGGACATTAGAGTACCAGGTGTTTTTTTTACTGAAAATCGACAAACGTTCATCATTAGTCTCTTCATTCCAGATATTTATTGAATTCAAATTCCACTGTCCGCTATGGTAGGTTTTGAACCCAGTCCCCAGAACCTGAGTCTCTAGATTAACAGTCCAGTGATAAGACCAATAAGTCATCGCCTCTCCTAAACTTCTCCTGGTCCGTAAAGGAACTAAACAAAAGCATATCTTATTGGAGTTTCTTATGGTCCAGAGCAACATTCTCCCTAATTTCTTTGTGCTGTATTCAGCAAAGGTGCAGGCTCTTTCAAATTCTTTGCACGGCAATGCACACATAGTAACTCAGCCTATGGTCAGCTTATGTAAGAACTTCTAACTTCCATAGCTTGGAGGAAACAGGGGTTCTGACACCTATTCAACACAGGTTTGGCCCAGAAGGAAAATTATCACTGTGCCAGTGTTCAGGTCTTAAGTTAAAATCACAAATTACACCTGATGATGTAATCAGTGCTTTACTTGTACATTTAATGTTCACCCCCACACAGACAGGTTTGGCAGATAATGCAGGGATGGCATAAAGGGAGTAAAGAAAAACGTAGTGACATACCTGATCAAACAGACTCATTGCTAATACAGGAAGAGATGTATACACTAAATTGTACAACGTAATAAACCATTCATCATACACAGTCTGTGGAAAAAAGAAAAGCAGTATGAAGATTAATTACACCTGAAAATGAACAACTAGATATATAGCACATACGGATACATAGATTTTCATGAAATAATTCAGAATAAAACTGAGAACTAAATGGAAATCATTTTAGTTCTCAAGTCATTTAGAATACAACATATATTTCCACTGGAATTTTGTTTAGGCACCAATAAATAGGAGAAGAGATAGATTACTAATCACATTTAAATTTTTGATTAAACCTAAAATTCAATGCTGTAATCACATAATTGTTGATAAGAGACTGTGAAGTGGCAGAGTGTATTAATGTAGAGATTAGGTGAAAGTGGAATAAAGGCAGATTGGATTTAACAGGTGATTTTAAATTAAAGAGAGTAAACAATAGAATCCAGACCATTCTGGAGAGGTGTTAGGAAGTCCTTCTACATACAAAACAAGTTAGAGGTTTAGAACTCTTCGATAAGTTGATGCTGGATCACTCGTTAATTTTAAATCTGAGATAGATAATGTTTTGTTAAGCAAAGGCAGATATGTGGAATTTGTCAACGGATTAGCCTTGATTTCGTTGAATGGCAAAACAAACTTGGGAAGCTCAAAAGCCTAGTCTGTTCCTAATAATAAACAATGAGCCAGATTTGGATAACAAACTTGTGGTGTGTTAATATTTATATCATAGTGACCATAAATTGATCGAATTCAATGCAATGCATGAAAGAGGGAAAGGGCAATACAATACTAAAATTAGGTAAAGCCAATGGGACAAGACTGAGTTTGTCCAGATTAAAGTAGACAAATCAGATGCTGGTTTAAACAATGCACAGTCGGTATGAAATGTTCAAAAAATAATTTAGCATGATATAAAACAGATTTATACTTTTAAGAGACAGGAGCTCCATTTTCTCTTGCCTCAAAAAAAGGTAAGGGACATCATAAAACTAGAAAAGAAAACCTGCAATAATGCTTAAAATAGCACAGATGCTGGCAAATGGGAGATGATAAGACAAAGGATGCAGGAGCAGAAGCAGAAGCAAGCCATTCAGCCCATTCAATCTGCTCCACGATTCCATGAGATCATGGCTGATCTGACAATCTCCAACTGTCCATTCCTGCATTCCTTCCATAATCCTTGATTTCTTTACTCATTAAAAAACCTGGCAACCTCTGAAAATACTTAACAACGCAGGCTCTACAGCCCTCTGTGGCAAATAATTCCACAAATTCACTACCGTCTATGAGACAAAATTCTCCTTATCTCAGTCTTAAAAGTGTAATTCGGTATTCTGAGATTAAGCCCACTAACGTCTGCATCCAACGTATCATTCTCCGTCACGTCCACCACCTACAATCCGGCCACACAACCAAAAAGATATTCCCTCCTCACCCCTATCTGTCTTTCGTCAGGACTGTGCTCTCCGCGACTCCCTCGTCCGCTCCACACTCCCCACTAACCCCACTACACCTGGCACCTTTCCCTGTAATCGCAGGAAGAGCTACACCTGCCCCTACACCTCTCCCCTCACCACCTTTCAAGGCATAAAACAAACTTTCCACATTAGACAGGGGTTCAACTGCACATCTGTCAACTTGGTCTACTGCATCCGCTGCTCCCGATGTGGCCTCCTCTACATCGGTGAGACCCAGCGGACACTCGGAGACCATTTTGTAGAGCATTTACGTTGTGTACGCAACAAATGACAACCAACCATTTTTACTCTCCCTCCCACTCCCTGGGTGACATGTCCATCCTGCGCCTACCCCAGTGTCACAATGACACCACCTGCAAACTGTAGGGGCAGCGCCTGATATTCCGCCTCGGGAGCCTACAGCCCGATGGCCTAAACACGGATTTCACCAGTTTTAAAATCTCCCCACCCCCGGCCTCATCTTATGTCCAACCCTCCCTCTCATCCCCGCCTCCTTGATCTGACACAACCTGTCCATCTTCTCCCTCACCTATCCCCCCCCCACCTCATTGACCAATCCCCACCACTGCGTACCTGCACTCACCTAACACCATCTCACTTTCCTTCCCCACCCCCACCCCTCCTCTCTACTTATTTCTGAGCTCCCTTCCTCCTCCCCATTTCCAATGAAGGGCCAACTTTCCTGCTCCTCTGATGCTGCCTGGCCTGCTGTGTTCCTCCAGCTCCACACTGTGTTATCTCTGACTCCAGCATCTGCACTTCTTGCAATCTCTGTTAGGTGTGAGGCCTTGTTTAGAATCTGTTTGTGTTTTGGTTTGGAGTCAGACTGGTTTTATTTCTAAAGTATGAATTTATAAAACACTTTATAGACTGAATGTCTATAAATTGTGCGCTTTTTGAACGAAATAAAATGTATCTGCAAATACAAATTCACATAGATTCACATATGTGTGTGCATGATGTGCATGTGTGTGGGGTGTGTGTGTTTATGAGGGGGAGAAAGAGAGAGTGACAGTGTGTGAGTGTGTTTGAGAGAGAGAGAGCGAGAGAAAGAGTGTGTGTGTGGGAGAGAGTGTGTGAGAGAAAAATTGTGTGTGAGAGAGAGAGTGAGTGTGTGAGGGAGAGTGAGTGTGTGTGGGAGTGAAAGTATGTTTGTGTGTGTGTGTCAGTGAGTGTGTGTGTCAGTGTGTGTGTGAGAGAGAGTGGTTGTGCGTGTGTGTGAGAGAGTGGTTGTGCGTGTGTGTGTGAGAGAAAGTGGTTGTGTGTGTGTGAGAGTGGTTATGTGTGTGTGTGATTGGTTGTGTGTGTGCGTGGTTGTGCGTGTGTGTGTGAGAAAGTGGGTGTGAGTGTGTGCGAGAGAGAGTGGTTGTGTGTGTGCGAGTGCAAGAGAGAGTAGTTGTGTATGTGTGTGTGAGAGAGTGGTTGTGTGTGTGAGAGAGAGTGGTCGTGTGTGTGTGAGAGAGAGAGAGTGAGTGGTTGTATGTGTGTGTGAAAGAGTGGTTGTGTGTGTGTGAGTGGTTGTGTGTGTGACAGTGAGTGGTTGTGTCTCTATGAGAGTCAGTGGTTGTGTCTGTGTGTGATAATGAGTGGTTGTGTGTGTGTATCAGAGTGAGTGGTTGTGTGTGTGTGTGAGAGTGAGTGGTTGTGCGTGTGTGAGTGAGTGGTTGTGTGTGTGTGAGAGTGAGTGGTTGTGTGTGTGTGAGAGTGTGTGTGTTGGGGGGGCGCGGAGAGAGAGTGTGAGTGTATGTTGGAAAGAGAGAAAGAGTGTGTGTATGTATGTGTGGGAGAGAGAGAAAGAGTGTGTGTCTGTGGGAGAGAGAGTATGTGTACATACACACTCTCTATCCTACACACACACACACACGATCTCTCCCACATACACACATGCTTTCTCTCTCTCTCCCCAACACATACACACACACAACCACTATCTCCCTCACACACATTCTCTGGCTCTTCCTCACACACACACACACGATCTCTCATACACACACTCTTTCTCTCTCACAAATACTATCTCTCCCAAACACACACACTTTCTCTCTCTCACACACACTCTCTCCCCCTTACATACACACTCATTCTCTCTCTCTCCCACCTCACAAACACACACACGTGAATCTATAAGGTGATTTTGTATTTGCAGATACATTCTATTTTGTTCAAAAAGTACACAATTTATAGACAGTCAATCAATGTGGCATTTCTATGACAATGAATGGACACCGCGCAACAGTTGCCAAGTAGGCACGTTTCCTCCCGGTGGAGGAACACTTCAGTGGTCAAGGACATTCTGCCTCAGATCTTCAGGTAAACATCCTCCAAGGTGGACTTCGGGATACATAACAATGCAGAGTCGCCGAGCACAGGCTGATAGCCAAGTTTGGTACCCATGAGGACGGTTTCAACTGTCTCTCAAGCACACATATACACCACATTCAAGCACACACTCTCCCACCGCCCCCACCCCCAACACACACACTCTTCCCACATCCCCCCACCCCCCACCCCACACACACACGTAAATCTATGGGGTGAATTTGTATTTACGGATACATTCAATTTTGTTCAAAAAGCACACAATTTATAGACAGTCAGTCAATGTGGCATTTTATAAATTTCTACTTTAGAAATAAAACCAGTCTGACTCCAAACCAAAACACAAACAGATTCTAAACAAGGCCTCACATCTAACATGCATTGCCTGACCTAAAATGTCACCTCTTCTTTACACTGATAAAACCTTTAGTTCTCTCAGGGCAGTTACTTGAATGAAATTCAGGGATTTACATATACATATTAATCGATTAAAACCTTCTAACTGATTAAAGATTTAACAGCATCTTAGGTTTGTTTAATACATCCTCTTGAGTTGTGTGACCCTTTGATCTTTTACTTATAAATTCTGTGCCTGATGCCACCTCTTTCACTAACAACTGAAGAAGGAGCAAGGCTCAGAAAGCTGGTGTTTTCAAATAAACCTTTAGGACCATAACCTGGTGTCATGTGATTTCTGACCTTGTCCAACCCAGTCCAATACTGGCACCTCCACATTTCCGCATCCACTCACTCTCACACACACACAAGTCCCCAAAGAATCTTATGTTCCACATGGTTGCTTCTCCGTCTCCTAAACTCCAATGAGTGCAGAGTCAAACTACTCAATCTCTATTCATAAGACAATCCCTACAAACCTGAAATCAGCTTAGTGAACCTTCTCTGGACTGCCTCAAATGTGAGTATATCTTTCCTTAGATAATGGGCCTCAGTATTCCAACCGTGGTCTGGCTAGTGCCTTGTATAGTTACAACTAGATTTCCTATTTTTATACCCCATTCTCTTTGAAATAAAGGACAACATTCCATTTGCACTGTTCATTACAGGCTAAATTTGTATGCTAGCTTTTTGTGATTTATGATACACAAAGGACAGAACAGGGTAATAAAGCAGGCAGTAATACCAACAACAGTAAGGTATGAAACAAATCTTGAAAAGGATATCAAGATCAACATAAATAAACTTTTAGTATTGTATAAGGAAAAATGTATTTAAGAGCAATGTTTTAAAATTGTA